AGCGAGGCTCTTCAATGTATCGCACCTCGTTCTGTGTTAAGATGAAGTTAGGGACTAAAAGCACCTAGGAGACGCGCATTGAAAAGGAGCACAGCATGCAATAACGTTAACCTGAAGTGTGCTCCATACAAAAGTGTAGAGATCAGAACGCCTTTTTAGCATCATGCCTCGAACCGTAACTCCTGAATGATCTCACTTACGATGAGGGTTCCAGATGCATTCGTGTTCCCTCTTCGTGCCATGTGAGAGTTTGTCAAAAAGCCCAGTCGAGGTTGGTCCTACTTGGTACCTACTCTAAGAACACGTAAATCCCCCTCCGGGTGATCCATTTCTCAACTCTCGGCACCATCGCACACGGCTTGCCAAAGCACGTGGTCCTACGAAAAGCAAGGCACTGGTTATTAAACATAACAGCTATTCCCATACGGTCGTCGCGCTAACATTCAACTGTGTACTGAATGTCTTGCAACCCCAGTTGGGTAGTAAGTGCAGCGAGTGACTGACGAGGCTTCATCTTTGCCTGCTGCCAAATGTAGGGTCATCTGCTGCTGTAGTTGACGGGAATCACCTCATGCCATTCAGCTGCAGCGGCTGTGGTTTGTCTCGCTCCCCTTGCACACGGAAGAATGCACTAAGCACCAGGGTGAAAATCGTGTCGAGGAAATAACCGCCTCTTTACGACCCCCCTCCCAAACATCAGACTCTACGACCCCTTTTTGTCCTCTGCACATCCGGTTTCATATCAAAAAATGTTATTTTTCGATGTACAAGAGGGAGACAGCGCCACTGCCACGCGGATGCTCCGCTGATTCAAATCCTGAACCTAACTTTGCACAGGCTAGTGTTTTTCGAAGAACTGGACCTGAAAACGGACTAACCTGTGATAGACGAGAAACCAAAATAAGAACAGGGAATAGACTTCTACTAGAGAAGAACGGGAGTAGAAAAGGGAAGAGGATGCTGCCTACAGGCAGTTTAACAGTCTCGCGCTCCAGTATAGCGGCACTAACTACCCGCGATCGCGTCGCGCGCTGTGCCTAGAGCGCGCTAGTTGGAAAAATCGTCAAATGTACCCCCTATTCAAAGGACTATAACTTTCTTCATTGATAACCATTTCAGAAAGTGAAGGCAGCTTTTGAATGCACAAGACTTCTAGTTTCTAAATTGTGCTGAGCGTTTTTCTAAGCACGCTTCTCGAGAGTTGGGAGACGTCGAGGAATTGTCGAGGAAATTGAAATTTACATGCGAGTTTTCCACTCTTTGGAAGACTGTAACTTTCTTCATTGGCAATCTTTTGAAAATCGGAGACCATAAAAACTAGAAGATTCGTGCTTTTTGAGAAGTTTTGCCCTTGTTTGAAACAAGCTCCAGTACGTGAGGAATTTGCGTCGAGGAAATGTCGAGGATATTTTCGAAACCACTCGAAAACTCTATTCCTCCCTCGCCGTGAAAGAAAACTTGCTTAAACACCCTCAAAACGCTTCTGGAAAACACCATCTCAATGGAAATAGAAGCTGATACAATTGCGTCCATTCATCTCATTCTAGTATGCGCCATGCAACACTCAATTCGGGAGCATTTAAAGCCACTTTTATCTCCAGCGAACAAACTTACTGGTAGCGGAAGGTTTTCAGTTCTCAATTATTCGAATAGCCCTTATGGTACAGTATATATTCCATTTATAAGATTCCTTTCCGACCTATTCGGTGAATGGCGCATTTGCTACTGCTTAATATACAGGGGTGGCCAAAAAAAGAGACACTTGACTCCACATTTCAGACAGCATTAATCACACTTTGCTAAAATCAAATCGACTGCCCCCAACTCAGTATTGAAGAGCACATTCTAATCTATCTAAACCTTACATGACAGCCTTCTACACCGACGACATCAGAAGATTTTCCCACGGAAACATGGTTCACGGTACGAGCTCAACGAGGTCGTCGAGGTACCATAGACCATTACGACGTCCCTGAAACGCTGGTCAAAAGCGGTTTTGCACAGTCACAGCTAATGTCTCTGAGAAGCTATTCAACTGTTACTATAGAGAATTTCCCAATCCTCTATTCCTTTCTCTATTCCTAGTTATTCTTGAATGTAGGTTAATCGTTATCTGTTAATGAGTCACTCGTTTGAATTCTCTCAAGCTCTGGCAAATGTTTATGTTCAATACTGTTATCTGATTGTATTAGCCTAGAAATGTTTTGAGAACTAGAATTCTGTGTGTATAAAAGCTGCTGGCTCCTGTAGAAGGGAGGAGGCAAATCTCGTCGGAACGCATCCATTGTACCGGACTGCCGACCAATAAAGGATTAGTGGAGAAATCTCTGTACAGTTACTTCATTGAAGAAATTTGCTTCTGTGGGAGGGGGGGGGGCAACTAAGGAATATTCTGCCGTAAAACCTTTCATTAACATCGGCTCCCTGTGCGACGAAAAGTTCGATGATGTTTGCCATGAGCAAAGTGTCTCTTTTTTTGGCCACCTCTGTATGCCTAGGGGACTGCAAATCTCCCCGTTTCGAACTTTTTACCAATAAACTGTTCATCCACTAGATTCTCAAATGTGTACATTAATTTATTTAGAGTGAATGTTCGTGCCCACTTCCTACGATTCTTCTGCAGAACGCGTTTCCTTCCTATGTCTTCGTACTAATAATCACTACGAACCAAACCAACAACACTTTCCATTTAAATTTTAATTCCAGACAGTGTAAGATATTATTTGCATTAGGCTAACTACAACACTTGTGAAATTAATGATGACAGCAAATAAGTGGCAGCAGCACCGTTGTGTCCGTTGATGAACCTTTTGATTACGACCCCCTCCCAACTCTCATCGGAGCAAATACGACCCCCTGTCGAGGATTTCCTCGACCGTTATTCACCCTGCTCACAATAAGCACTACAGCCTCGGGGTGCACTATT